CGCAAATGGCTACCATATTGAAAAATATACTATTTTTGTATGATAATTATGGGTTTTGTATTTTATTTTAATAGAAGTTGATGTTGCTTTTGCAATTATCCATCAATTTTTTAAAATTAAACACTATCTACAGATTTGCATCGAAGCGTTTCTTATGATAGTGATTTTAATCACTGTCAGATTAAATCTATACTGGACCCTACTATGCAATGTCTCCACTATGCCGCGACCCCACTGTGCTACCGTTTTGTCTTTAATAATTATACTTATACTAATTATTCATAATATAAATAAAACCTGGAAAGAAACAACAAAAGCAACGCATAGAGAAAGGGAGTAAATTTAAGAATGAGGAAATATAACGAATTTAGTATTTTTCAAAATCAATTACATAGCAACACGTTTTTATTATCACATAAACCTCTTGTGGTACACTTCATTGGTAATGATAAAACTCGTGTGTTAATTTTAGTTGTGGTTAGAAATTCATAATTAGCATGTTTTTATGTAATTTTTGAACATCAAAATATAAGGTATTAGTGTTTTAAGATAAATTTTTCAACTTCCTCTCTTAAGTATTTCATAAGTACTACTTATTAATTTTTAATCCATTAGAGAATTCATATTTTACAATAGTTTTAACTACAAAGTTTTACGATTGTTTTTGTCATCTTCCCTTATAGTTCGGGGAATATTCATCTAACGCAAAATATAGGTTAATTATTTCAGCATACTTTACACTAAATAAATAAGCCGTATAAAAAAAAATCGTCGACATTACTTTGGTTTTTATCGTTTTGGTCATCAAATATAATGATAACAATGAAAAATACGTTAGTTGAAAGATTGAAAGATAGCGCTCGCAACATACTATCTACATTGACGGCGCCTCAAATTATTATTAGCATTGTTCGTTTATTTGTTCATTATCCGGGATAAATGAAATCAAGCATTCAGAAGTCGGTACTTTTGAATGAGTTTCAATTGTTGAACGTTTGCATTTAATGGCATTGTTAAACAATATTTTTAAGAAAAGAAATGTATAATCTTTTTTCAATTATTTTTATAAATTTCCTTGTTTTCTTTAATCAAAAAATATACTGTGAAAATGTTTTTTTTCCAAATTTGCCAATTGTAAGTATTTAAAATTGTTATTTTTTCTAAAAATATAACAAATGTAAATATTAATAATATTTATTGAAGCCAAGTAACATTACAAAAAATATATATATTTTTTATTAAGAGATCATACGTTTTTAGGGAGAATACCATATAAAATTTAAAGCAGGTTTTAAATGCAATTCTAGTATTCATTATAAAATTGACTTAAACCTTCACCAAAGTAAGATTGCCAGTTCAAAAACAGTGATTACTGGAAATATGAGCTTTCATATTCCGTTAGATGATTCATTAATTGTAAGGTTTACAATTATGAATTTCTGTTTGATTTAAATAGATACAAATTGTAAATATTTTATGTACTAGGTAGACGTTAACGTGGCCGTTTTAGATAAAATAGGAGGTTGGAAAGACAACGCATATGTCTTTCAAATTTTAAATGCTTGTTCAGCAGGATTATCTATTCTTGGGCCTGCTGCTTACAAGACTCTATTCAAAAGTTTCAATGCAACTGATGATTCTTGCCCTATAAAAGCGGTAAATAGTCTTTATAAAAAGTTTTAGGTAGTACTTCGTTAAAAAAACATAGTTAACTTATTATATACTGAGTATTTTTCGCTTTAGTGTTACCTAACAATACTTTTAGGGAGAATAGTTAAGCCTCTCAAAAAATATAAGTTGACAGTATTTATTTAATATTTGATTCACTTTTCCATTTATGAGAGCAAATACCTTAAAAGTTTTTCATCGTCTAGAAACATAAAATTGTAATTTATTTTTGACGCTGGTGTCGAACTGAATGTTATACATGATTATACACATTTAGTGTCACAACTGAAACAAAAAGAAATGAGATATTGAGTTAGAAAAAAAAAAATCGCCGATTAAATATATTTGGTGGTTGGTTTGTACCAGCTAATTTGAGTTTAAGATAAAACTTACGGCATTTTCTCAATATTTCAGGTAATTAATGAACACTATTTTTATTTGAAAACTTATAAATATTGTTTTTGGAAGTACAAAGTATTACCTACTTTGATATTAGTAAATTATAACTTTGTTATTTATTATATAGTGTTATAACAGTAAATATTACTTTTAAAATTAAAGGGTTGTAAGCACGTAGTAAGGATTTTATTTGTGGGGATCTAAAAAATACTGTTTCATCGGAAAATATCCATAAACCCATTACAAAATATCTACAATCACAGTATTGTGAAAACATTTTCCATCCGGTGCTATTTTATTATTAGAAAAAAAATATACATATTGGTTTATATATATAATAATTTTAGAAAAAATATGATTATAAAAATAGAGAAACACATCTTATATATACAAATTATGTAAAAATTCTAGTTAACTATGTAATATTAGTCAGTAAAATATGTTTTTATAGCGTATTATTTTGGTGGTACATAATGTTGTCAATTCTTTTATTAATCATAATTTTATACAAATTTTAATTTTTTTTTTAGAACAGTTATTATTTGATGAATAATCTTGATGTGGATTCATTTGTTGATACAATTTTAAAGACAAATAAAATGGCACCAAAAACACTTTTCTATGGTTCTTATAAAGCTAAACTTATGCATAAAAGAAAAGATTATGATGAAATATTATCTTGTTTTGTTATAATTTTTGATGTTACGAGGCCATGGGAAGATTCTTATCATTATCAATAACTGAAATTACTTTTTAAACATTTTAACTTTTACTTAATATAAAAAATATGACTAATTCTTTTTTAACAATCATATTTTACAATTCATGATACAATTTAATATCTTAATACATTACAGAGTGATTCTTTAAAAATAGCCACTTGAATTCTTTTGAAACAATAATTAAGTTAAAAATTATTTTTGGTATTTTTTAGTTTTATATATTTCTTGACATATTAATTATTAAGTCATTTATTATAACCGTTTTAAAATATGAACTATAGGTAAGTTAAAAATATGATAATAATTATTATATGATTTTTTTCAGCTTTCAGATTTTTTATTATTTCCGAATTATTAATTAAAAAAATATTATTGAAAAGTCATCTTCTTAGTTTAATAATTTTTTATTTTATAAAGAAAAAAATATAGGAGTTAGCGAAAATTCAATCAATTTGTATAGTTAAGAGATCTAAACTTATGTAAGGTGATCGATTTTAATTAATTCATTTCCTTAAAAATTATAAACATTTTAAAATTTTTATTAAGAGAAAAATTATTTGGTTTAAAAAATTCTACAATAATTATAGTTAATTTTTTTCATTTCCTTAGGAATAAAAATACCTTAATATAAATTTCTCTTAATAGAAACCCCTATTTTTGTAACATGATCAAAAAGTATATATTAATAATTTTTTTTTTTAATATTGTCAGGAAGGAGTAGTACTTCAATGTATAGGTATTTCGCTGGACTATATAAATTGACCGTACAATTATTTTTAATTTTTTCTAAAAATCAAAGCTTTACATTAAATGTAAATAGTAGGTATTTTAAAAAGAGTCCATATTAGTCGAATGTCATGCTAGTAACTTAAGATAGTATAAGTAGTGCTGTACTATTGTGAAAACACTGAACAATAAGTTTAATTTTGATTTTTAGTTAATAACACTGAAATAAATACTTATATTTTCTATAGCAATTAAATATAATATAGTATGGCATTTGTTTAATTTATTTATATTTCTTTATAAGCAGAGAAAAATATAAATGTTTTAGTACGCAGTGAACTTAAGGAAAAATTAATACTGCAAGCTGATGTTAATTCGTATAATCTGTAAACGTAAATTTATTTAATTATTAAACTTCTAACAATTCGTAAAACTTAACATATAAAGTATTTTTTTTTTTAATGAATATTTTAATAAAATATTCATCTTTATTAATACAAATAAATAGTGCGCATTGATTTTATTTTATTTGAAATTGTCACAAATCGCTTTAACTATATATATTTGATAAGTTATATCATGATTTTTAGGTAAAACGTTTTTATTTTAAAGTAGTTCATTGAAAAAACTTGAAATTTTATTACACTCACTACTGTTTCACATTTTTGGGTTTAACAATAAAATAAGTAATAATAATACATAATCTTGTGTACAGGATATATTAGGTTAGATGATAATTTTTGTATCTCATCACCTAAACTTTAAAAATACTAGTTTAGAAAATATTGACGTGCGTATCATTAATTGATGCATACCATTCTCTGTGTTTTTTAAATCATATTACAAAATAAATTTATTCTACTGTCGAACGAAAAACTTATTTAGAATGGTGGGAAAGAAAAGGAAATTTTAAGAAAATGATCAGTAAATGAAAACCCGGATTTCACTGCTGTTTTAATATGATTAAAAAACAATTACTTTATCTTTTTCTTTTTCTACATAATTTTTTCTAGTATCTTTACCTCATCTAGACGAATTTTTATGAATATTTATATCTAATCTAAATGATTTTTTGATTATCTATTGAATAGATTTCATTCCCCACACTACAAACATATAATTTGGTCGACCTGATAATATATAATTAAATGACATGGATGGTTTTTGTAAGAAATCATGTCGAAAATGGTAATTTTTCATGATACATAAAACTTTTTTTATATAACAGTAAATTTGATTTACGATTTACAAAAGAAAATGTAGTAACAACTTATCATCTACTTATAGGAATAACAGTAACACTGTTTACAAATATTTTAAAAATTAATCATAAATTTCTTTATGAAACAAAACTATATTTTAATACTATATTATACAAATTAATAATGATTTTTTAAATAACTTTAATAAAACAAGATTATAAGACTACAACATTAAAAATGCAAGAGATTTTATTTTTTTTTTATAGTCAATGATTATTATATTAATATTTTATTATTATTTTTATTATGCGAGATTACATATAGAGTTAAGTAGTGAATATGTTTACCAAGCATGTTCATGTTTAATATTATTGCTGTATATTTTTTACATTTTACATTTGTAAACTTAGGTTAGTTATAACTGCTATTATGCATGTATATTATATTTATTTTATCATATGGTTAACCCTGGAAACTTCCGTGATTTATGAATTCATCTATTATCATGGTTTTTTAACAGACTTCAAAAAAGAAGGGAGTTATTAATTAATCCTAGATTTGTTTGTTAGATTCTGTATAGATCATTAACAAAATTTTTATTATATATTTTTCTCGTGAATTTAAAATAAACTACCATCATTACGTTAAGTATTTATCTCTTTATATGATTTGTTTAAAAATATTTCATGTAATACATAATAAAAATCTGTAAAAAAATATAATCTATCTTAAGTAATTTTGCAATATGTATTTCTGTCTTAAATACTAACATTTTTATGTAGATTAACAAAAGAAATATTTGTGCATTTCGTGATAAAAAATAACGCATATTAAATTTAGTCATTGATCGAGACTAACGAAAATTGTGATTCATTCAAAAATGGTTATTTATAATATAATTATAACCAGTGACTCCCTTCAGTCTATATCCTGTATTTTTTTATAACTTAAATAATCAGAATTTATTAAAGGATTGTAATATTTTATTACATATTATGTTTCATATGAATGAAAAACTGAACTTTATTGTAATTATTCGAATAGAAAATGATATAAAATCGAATAATACACATGATGAGAAATTATGTATATACAGTTTTTAAATCATAATAAAATTGTTAAAAAAAAAAATAACTTTAATTAATATTTTTAATTATATAATTACTAGTTTGAGTTAATTATTTTTATACTTACACAGTTTTAATTATATAGGATATACTTCAAAAAGTTCATATTGGTTCATAAGATTATCTTTTGATATTATTTTCAACATAAATAATTATAATCCCACGTAAGAAACGATTATTGGAGGTTTAACTAAACTCTAGGGGTGAATAAAATATTACATTTCAAATTATTTACTTAAGTTTGTTAGTCCAATGAAATGAGGTTTTTTAAATTTGATATAAAATAGATATATGATAACACCTTATAGATAAATAAGTCTTGCAAAATCTTCTATAATTTTTTGCTTTGTAATTTCTTATTTACCACCAATGAAAATTTACCACAAAAAAAGTTACTCAAAATATGCTAACAAATTATTTTAATTAATTAATTGAAAATAATGAATTGTAATTAGAGCATATTTTGATATTATTGAAATTACTAGTTGCTCAAGGTATTGAAAGATAATATTCTGAAAATAAGATATTAAGCATACATTTTATTTTATTTTTATTTCGAATTGTATAAATTAATATAATAAACTATTCATCTTTTTCTTTTTCCTCGCCCTAATCCCAACTACTTGGGGTTAGTCACTCTTATCCTGAAGTATCACTTGACACCATCTTCACGTCATCAACACACAACAGCCGTCCTCACATCGCATAGAATAACATTCCTCCATCTCTTATTTGGTTTTCCTCTACCTTTTTTTCCCTCAACATAAGTTTTCATAACTATTCTTACAGCTTCCGATTCATCTATCCTTATAACATGATCAAACCAACTGAGTCAATTTTCTTTCATCTTGTCTACAATTGACGATACACCTATACTACCTCTTACATTTTTGTTCTTTATTCTATCTTCTTTAGTCACTCTACTCATCTATCTAAGCATTTTCATCTCTGCCATACTCATTCTCTGCTCCGTTCTCATATCAACCACAACAATACTGTATACTCATACAACAATTTGTACTATACATGATAGTTGATTTCACTGCAGTCTTATAGAACATACCTTTCAGTCTCATTGGTATTCTTTTATTGCATAACATACCTGACGCTTCTCTCCATTTCACTAAACCGCACTTAATTCTAAGTCTTATATCCTCTACTTATTGCACACTTGCCTTCTTTGCACAAGCGTTTATACTCCATTCAATCTTGTCTTCTTTCGCTCTTCTACCATATTTCAACTGCTTTTCTTACTCTCTATGATTTATTGAACGTCCTCATTTAGACGTCATTGAATTTAAAAAATTAGAATTTTTTAAATTAATCTAATAAACTAAATAATTAATACAATTTTTTGCATATAAATTGTAATTATTTGTTCATGTAACACGTAACCTTTATGTTTATTTTTAATACATGATTTAATTCTTAGCTTCGATGCGAAACTGAGGAGGTATTTCAATATGATGAGCTTTTTTGTGTGTATCTGTTGCCATTTTTTCTTAGCTCTGACAGGATCGATTTCTTTCAACGATATGCCAAAAAATCACAAATCGTATCTAGTTGAAGTCATTGTCATTAAAAATTGATAAATTTCCCTCGTTTTCTGTAAATGGGAGAAATCTTCAAAAAAATTACAATTTTAAAAATCAGTAATTTTTTATTTTAAACGACCATAACTTTTTCAAAAATTAACCAATAAAAATAATTATTTTTTATATAATAACCTTAGGAATTTTCCTTTTCTATGATATAGTTTTTTTGAAATTCTGATCTTTTACATACTCTCAAGGGGGGTTCAAAATAGCAACTTTTTACAAAACTCTACTTTTTCAACTGAAATTTTGAAAATGTTCCGGAAATACTGCATCCTTTAACCATATGTCAAATTAAAGCTTATATTATGTACTATATATTAAAAAAAAAAATTGTCCTGATGTCTTATTTTCTATGTGCAAACAGC